ATGTGAAGGGAGGCTTCTGATGTTTAGGGTGTTCCTGATGTGAAGGAAGGGGTCTCCTGGTAGGAAAGTAGGGGGCTCTTATGTCAATATGGCTCTTATGGCAGTTTCAATGCGATTGTTTTCAAAGGGCGGTTTTAGGCGTTTTTAATTGCGCTTCAGCTCTGAGGCGCAATTGAAAATGCCCCAAAATGCGCTGATCGGCGCATTTCCATTCAAATATATATATATGAAATCCGCCCTAAACAGAGCAAAAAAAAAAAAAGATTAGGGAGCATTTCGGGTGGCGGGCGGCTCTGATCGCGTGGAGCCGGGTGATTGCATAAATGGTCCCCATAGGAATGTATGGGATCGTTCATGTCGATGGTTCAGCGCGGACAAATCCGTGCGACAGAACCGCCCTACAGGGCCTAAGCGTCCATTCACATCGCAGCTTTGCATATGGTATCCATGTGTCTAGTGAACGCTATCGCACAGCGCGATGAATCGTACTATGTGCGCTGCAGTGCCATTTGAATGGCACCCCAACGCACCTCCCAGTGAGCTGCATTGACCAAGTGTTGCATTGCGCTGAGCGGTAGCGTACGCTAAACGCACGGATACCGTGCCTTCAGTGCAACGCTGCGGTGTGAGTGGACCATTAGTGATCACAAGGTAAGTACTCCAGGCCAAGGTTTTACCCGCCTTCATCCCAGATCATAAATAAATGTATGAAAGTGACTCCAAGGTTATGTCTGAACAGGCCGGATAGTGGAACCGGAGCTACAAAGATGTTTACACGGAGAAAGATATAACTGGGGAGGAAAACAACAACAATGGGAATTCTTTTCCTGATAATTCATTTTATTACGGGCGGCCACGGCATTGTCCCGAGTTCCCGGGGGAGTTCGCATGGAGGAGCTAATTACTCTGCCGCTGAGTACAGCAAGAAATCCGCTCAATAAGTCATGGTAATGCAAACAGGCAGCAAAGGGCGATGCTTCAATATGGCCGTGCTCACGCCAATGTCAGCTTTAGGGGACCTTTCCGGATCTCAAACCAATAAAGAAGAAGAATTGTTACATTATCCTGAATGAACAGCTTTATAGAGTATCCTTAACCCCTTCCCTTCCCCTACATTACTCCATGCTGCTACATATATTCTGCATTATATTGTGCTGGCAGCGCACTCAGTGGCAAACCCCCAGCACTGTGATGGCGCTCTCAATGACAGCTCCCTTGCGGGTTCCCAATCATGTTATCACTGTGGCAGCCAATCAGGAAGCCCATGTAATGCCTTTGGCGTTGCAATCACTTAAAGGAGAACTATGAGGCGAGTGCTTTTCACTCACCTCATAGTTCTAGCCTACCTGTGACAGGTCGGCTCAGTAGATCGGGAAGTGAGAGAACACATACCGGTGTTCGCTTACTTCTTGATCCTGTCACGGCTCTCTGCCATGACAGGGGAGGGTCTGGATTCCCACCTCCCCGCTCCGAACCGCCAGCGCTGACTGGCGGAACGGACGGGGGAGAGGGCGGGTACAGCTGGCTCTGCCTCTAGATAGGCAGAGGCAGCTGTCACTCACGCAGCTGGGCGGATCGCCACATCGATGTCGGGAATCGCTCCAGCTGCGGCGTCCTCCCGTCACCCTAAGCTCGGGATCCGCTCCGGCTGCGGCGTCCTCCCGTTACCCTAAAGAGAACTATGGGGAAAAACACTGACCCCATAGTTCTCCTTTAAAGGGCAGTAGGAAAGGGGTGACCCATGACCCACTTACACTGTCCTTCCTAATGCTTCCCCAGCCGCAATCACCTGTTGCTTCTGGATACCTGGAGCATGTGACCTCCTTCCATGATGCCGTGCTCTTGTCTAGCCATCACATGATGGAGGTGCTGATGTGGATGCTCCCTGTAAGCTCCCACACCGGGTGCAAAGAGCAGGAGGTGAGTATAACTGGGTCAGGGGGTAAAGACTATAAGGAGACGCTTTAATTTAATGTGCCCAGCAGTCATGAGTCTATATACAATGTTGAAAAGTGTTACTTTGTTTCTTAGATCATCACCTATTTATAAAGCTGCTCTGGGAAACATCATATTTACAATGACCTCGTCACAGCTTCCCGATATCACAAAGTGAAGATTTTACACATGATTAGTAATGGAGTCTTTTTGCAGTCTGTGTCTTTGTGAAATCACATTGAGGTTTATGTAACTCGGGCTGCTGTCATGTGCACGGTGCCTAGCAGAGTTCTCCCTTAATTAGAATTAACCGGCACACGCGTACTGAATTAATTGCTGGTGATGAAACAAGTTCCAGGGGGTTTTCTCCCCGCACTGAGCGGAGGGCATCGTGCTGAAGACAGCAGCCATGGCGGCGCTCCCAGCAGACTGCGCCACTTAAATCAATATTAGTTTACTTCCCACGGATGAGGAGAAAGGGCTGATCGGATAATGACTCTCGTTACCTGTGGGGGAGATGAGACCTGGAGATAAGAGACCCGGCACTCCGTGCGGCAGAAGACGTGCGCTCTCCTGGATGGCGACTCCCAGCGAACGCTTCGGGGGCCTCCCCGGCCGTGAGCTGCAGAGGAAGAGAAGGATTCATAATCAGGGCATTTATAAGAGAGAGAGATCAGAGCATGCCGATGAAAAAGCCGATTCTTATACAGAGAATTGCTGAACTCAATAAATACAGCCGGGTTTACCTTCAACAACCTTCCCTCCTAAT